TGGAGGAGGGAGCAGAGCCTTCTGAGAGTGGGGAGGAAAACCAGGAGAGGTTTCCTGGTGCCCCAGTGTTTAGGGAAGGAGGGAGCAATCAGCAGTAACAATGTGACCATGAAATCAAACGGAGCGTGACAGAAACCCCACCCACTGGATATGCTGGAGACATGAAGGAGGCAGAAGCCAAATTGGAGTGGGTTGAGGGGAGCAAATGGAGACTGGGGATGGCAGAATGCACGTCGGCGCTTCCCAAACCCTTTCACTTTGTGGCACATATAGAAAATTATATATTTTTTTTTAATTTATTTTATTTATTTATTTTTGGCCGTGTTGGGTCTTCGTTGCTGCGCGAGGGCTTTCTCTAGTTGCAGCGAGCGGGGACTACTCTTCATTGCGGTGCGCGGGCTTCTCATTGCGGTGGCTTCTCTTGTTGCGGAGCACGGGCTCTAGGCACGGGGGCTTCGGTCGCAGGCTCTAGAGCACAGGCTCAGTAGTTGTGGTGCACGGGCTTAGTTGCTCTGCAGCATGTGGGACCTTCCCGGACCAGGGCTTGAACCCGTGTCCCCTGAATTGGCAGGCGGATTCTTAACCACTGCGCCACCAGGAAAGCCCTAAAAAATTATATTTAAATGGAACTTTGGGTAAGTGAGCAAGGCTGCTCCCCGCTGGAAGTGTGGCCCCGCCCAGCTGCCCTGAGGGCTGAGAAGATCAATATCTTATAACACCTGTAACCCTCTGAGATACGCCAGTGAGTCTTGGAACACCGACTGGGAAGCGCCACCATATTCTACTCTTTGAAGTAGAGTGACTGTAAATGGGGATTATAGTGACTGTGGAGTCAAGAGAAGGGTTGCTGGCATGGTTTGGTTTGGTTTGGTTTGGTTTGGTTTGGGTTGAAGACAAAAGAGACTTGAGCATCTCTCAGAGCATCTTTCAGAAAGATCCAGTTGAGATGGTGTGACCCTACTCATGGGAGAGAAAAGTTCACGTAGCATTGGTGGTACAAGGCTCCTGAGAAGATATAAGTGTAGACCCCAATTTCAGGTGGAAGGATGAGTGTACAAGATATTGTGTGTGCAAAAGTGTAATCCTCTCCACAATACTAGAAATCAAGGTCATTATTACCTTGTTAGAGATTTAAAATCTGAGATTAAGCGACGCCTCCCACCCCCCATCCTCCACTTAGTAGGCAGCAGAGCCAGAATTAGAACCCAACTCTTTGACTCCAGAACTCCTAACAATTATACTTTGCTGTATCTTGAAGCTCTTACTATGCTAGGCCTGGAGACACAACGATAAATTAGACGTGGCTCTTGGCTTTGGGGAGATCACAAACTGGAATTAGAGAAAGACAATAAAACAAATACAATACAGTGTGATGAAATAGGATAATGGAGGCATGAAAAAAAGTGGTTTAAAAAGCACAAAGATGGGCTTCCCTGGTGGCGCAGTGGTTGGGAATCCACCTGCCGATGCAGGGGACACGGGTTCGTTCCCCGGTCCGGGAAGATCCCACGTGCCGCGGAGCGGCTGGGCCCGTGAGCCATGGCCGTTGAGCCTGCGCATCCGGAGCCTGTGCTCCGCAACGGGAGAGGCCACGACAGTGAGAGGCCCGTGTACCGCAAAAAAAAAAAAAAAAAGCACAAAGACCATACTGAGTGTATGCCTGTCTCCTCCTAAGTTCCCAGGGGCACAGATGGACTGGACATTGAGCAAGAGCTAAAAAATAAAAAATAAAGCTTGATGGATGAGTGGGTAGGTGGACAGAGAATGACCTTTCGGTATTAATAAAGATGCTCTCGTTAGGGCAATTGTCCATGTAGCCACAGGGGACTGCTGCAGACCTGACACAAACTTTCCCATTGGTCCTTCCAAGTTCTCTCCAGGTCTCTAGGAGGGAGAGGGAGAGAGGTTGATCAGATGCCTCATAGTGCAGCCGGGCCCAGAGCTTCATTCCCAGTCTGGCTCCATCTTCACTGGACTCCTGGTCTTTACAGCTCCTGTCCTAAATTCTAGGCTTTTGATAAATTTCCTCAGTTCTCTCTTTCGAACCTAATTCAGAGAAATAATGTCAAGTCTTTCCCTAGGCCTCCAGTCCCAGCTAGGGATGGGGCTCCAATCCCAGCAGGCTTCATGGCTGAGTACCTTTACACAATTTACTTCACCTCTTTGGGCCTTTCCAGTACAAACTAAGGTTGAGAGGAAGGCTCTGGTAGCTCAAGGCTTCCGCACTCTTTTCCTTACAACAGTAGCTAATCATCAAGCACTTCCCACTTGCCAGTCATTATGCTAAGCTTGCAATATTCAAGGCGTCCACTAGCCACATGTAGCTATTTAAATTTATTTTTATTTTTTAATTTAATTTTTATTTTATATTGGAGTATAGTTGATTTACTAGCTATTTAAATTTAAATTAAGTAAAATTAAAAACAAAATTTCAGTTCCTCAGTCTCACTAGCCAACCACAAGTAGCTACATGTGGCTAGTAACTACTGAACTGGACAGCCCAGAGAACATCACCACCATCGCAGAAAGTTCTAGACAGCATTGTCTAAGTGTTTCTCAAGGTTTTATCTCCTTTAAACTTCCTAACACCCCTATGATGCAGGAGTAATCGTTTGTCCACTTTAGAACTAAGGATTCTGTGGTACAGAGAGGTTAAAAACTTCACCAAGCTCTCAGCATATTAGTACCCAGACCAAGGATTTAAGCTCAGGTGGGTGGTTCTGGGGCCCACCATGCTGTCTCCACGCCCAGAGCTGCCCCTAACCCCTGCTATCTACCCTCCCCTTCCTTCTTACCTCCTAGGGGTGGGGCTGAATATTCCCATTCCCCAGAAGCCATTGTCCTTTACCACTGCTCTCCTGCCAGCTCACCCTGAGGAATGAGGGCCCCTGGGCTTCAAGCCCCTTCTGGCTGAGAACCCCCCCTCTGTTACCCTCCCCAACTCCTTTTAGCCCCTTATTTCCCTTAAAGTATTAGTATTATGGGTTTTAGTCTCGCCAGCCCATCCCCGCCTTGATTCAAGGTGAGCCTGGGTCTGGGAAGAATCCTAACCTGGGAGCAGCCCTACTTCCCTCGGGTGACCTTCGTCCCCAAGAAATTATGTGCAGCCAGTTCAGCTCAGAGAGCCAACTTCACTAACGCCGCTGAAGGTGCAACCAAATCTTACTCTGCAGGGGTACAGCGAGAAGTGGGGGAGGCTTCATGCACTCAAGCTGCCGGAACCCAGTGAAAGTGGAAGCAGCCAGGGGCCGAGGCTTCAAGGGTTCTGCCTGCAAAGCACCTCGAGTGCTTGCAAGCCAGACCGTTTGTGGTTGCCCCATCTCCTACCTTAGATGTAGCCCACGTTACGCTCTAGACCTGCAGCTGAACAAAGCTAAAGACAACTAGAGTCAGGAGATCTGTTGGAAAGAGAACAAGAGAGGAAAATGTATAAGTGTTAACATCTTGAGCTGAGCCAACAAGATATTCGATTCCTACTTTACTTCCTCGCTCCTTTTACCTCTCTCCCAATCAACTGAGCCTCAAAAGAATTGCCTGGCAGTGCCAGATTGGTTTCCCATTTCCACTGAATCAGAGAATCTCGGGCAAGAAAACTTAGAAAATTCACCCTATCTCTTCCTGCTTTCAGCAGTAAGCACAGCAAATTCCAGACTACAGTATATGAAACTTCTCATCCAAAGACTTCCAGGAACAACCTTACTGTCAGAAAGTGCTTCCTGGTATGTTACCCACCTCTCCATGCTTCACCTTAAACTCACATGTTCAGTCCTCAGAGGATGTGCGGGTTGGGGAGATGGCCTCCTTCTCTGTTGAGAAACCAGTAGTTTCCAGTCTTTAATCTGTTACAAGTGATGCTGCTATGAACATTCTTGCACCTGTCTTTTGGTGCCCACACGTGTGCATATACGTAGGAGTGAAAACTCTCAGTCATCAGGCATCTATATGTTCAGTTTTAGTAGATTCTGCCACACAGTTCTCCAAAGTGGTTGTACCAATTTATGTTCCCTGTGGAAGTGTACGCGAGTTCTAGTTGCTTCACATCCTCACCAGCACTTGGTTGTCTATAGTTTTGGCCATTCTTATGGGGGCTGTGGTGGTATCTCACTGCAGTTTAAGTTTGCATTTCCACGGTGATTTATGAAGTCAAGTTCCTTATCCTGTGTCTATTGGGCACTTGGATATCTGCTTTTGTAAAGTACCTATGCAAAATATTGCCCATTTTTCTAGTGGGTGGTCTGTCTTTTTCTAACTGACTTGTAGAAATTCTTATATTCTGGGTACGAGTCCTTTGTCAGCCATATGTATTGAAAATACCTTGCCACCCTGTGGCTTGCCTGTTCACTCTCCTAATGGTGTCTTTTAATGAATGGTTCTTCTCAAAATAATAACCTGACAGTCTTAAAGCTTCAGATTCAGAACCTCCAGCCCCATTCTACCCCAATCTCATCAATCCCTGATTCTCTCCTGAGCTCACAGTCCTGTGAACTCTTTTCACGATTCCATTTCTCTGCCTCATTGCAGTGTCCAGACACATTTCTCCTTGAAGAAAAGGGTACCTTGGAGAACTAGAGGTCACTCGGGGTGGGGAGTGGATGATCTTAGTGTTTCTAGAGCTGTGCTACCTTCCAGACTAAGTGATGCTGAGGCCAAGCAAATTCTGGCAGTCTCTGGGTCCTTCCACAGCCCTGCCCCACCCCAGTTCCTAGCATAAGCTTTTTCAAACCACAGAGAGAGCATCCAAAAGTGCTTGCCTGTCGCTTACCTGACTCATTTATGCTTTACGGTCAAGAAAATTAATTGGTGTAACACTCCTTCTACCAAAGAAGAAATACCAATTTGAGCTTTTAAAGTTTCTTCCCCACTTCCCGTATTTAGATTATCAAGCACTAACACCACCCATGTCAGAGGGGGTCACCCACCCACCCCTGTGCCTGTGGCCTAGATGCTGTCCCTCCCAGTCTCACCCCTGCTTTCAGTCTGCCCCGGGTTCCCTCCTCCATGCCAGCCCAGGCCCCATGCTGCTCTGGACAGTTGCACTGCTCTTCGGTAAGTCACCAAGCGCCAGCATCCTCTTCTGGGCACCAAAGACTGTGAGTCGTTCCTAAGACGCGAAGTTCCTCATTTCACCTTTCCTAGTTCAAGTGGGTTTATGGCTGGAGCTTGAGACAAGTGCGTGCACATGGGCATGCTTGAGAGTGATGGGGATGACAGTGATGGGCATGGAGACGTGGGGGAGTCCTGGTGTTTCCTATCCCATTTTCCTGGCTCCTGGAAGGGCAGCCGTTCGATGTATCAGAGCTAATTTAGGGAGGCAGAAAACCACATGCTGAGACCCAATGACACTTTTACCCTGTGAAATCGGGTTAAAATATCCATCAGGGCTATCTTGAAAAGAAAACGATATTATAGAAGGGAAGGAGGCTGCCAGAATGTAAGAGAAGAGATCGGGGAAATGGGAAAAAAGCAGTTCCGTGCATTTCTGTCAGCAACAGGAGCAAAACGTGGGGTTTTATAAGGAGATATGTTTTTATGAAGCCTCAGCTTTTTTTGGCTCCGGGCGCGCAGGCTCAGCGGCCATGGCTCACGGGGCCAGGCACTCCGCGGCATGTGGGATTTTCCTGGACCGGGGCACGAACCCGCATCCCCTGCATCGGCAGGCGGATTCACAAACACTGTGCCACCAGGGAAGCCCCGAAGCCTCAGCTTTTTCTTAGAACCAGTCACCAATGACTGGGCTTCACACCTAGTCAAGAGGTTTATGCTCTACGTGTCCAAAGCCCCCTTCAAATTGACCATTCTTCTTCTGCCTACACCCTCTCTCTATTGTGGAGGGTGGCGGGGGTGTTCTGATTTGGGTCTGACTGGTCCATGGGGACCGATATGAAGGTTCAATTCCATTCTTCTGAATCTATACCACTGTCCTTGCTCTGAGCACCCCGGGGCCAGTCACCCCTGGCAGTGACTGCAGGGACTGGTCTCCAGGCAGAGTATTGTTTTGGGGTGAGTTACTCGGCTCCCCCAGGCTCGGCCCAGGCTCGTCTCACGCTCGGCTCAGGCTCCCCCAGGCTCAGCTCAGGCTCGGCTCAGGCTCGGCTCAGGCTCAGCTCAGGCTCATCTACTGTCCCCCTGCTACACTTAAAAGAAACAAGTCTGGGCACATAGTGCTTTACGGTTTCTGAGTTGACTCACATTTTGTTTTAAACTTGGTCCCAGAAGTTTGTTTGTTTTCATTGAACCAGAAAAGCAAAACCATTCCTAAATACACTTGCTTCCTAGACAGAGTTTGTGGGCGTTTATCCCCTGGGAAGAAAACACCTGTTTCACTCAGGGCTCTTCCTTCCCCGACATCACCGTGTTGCCCTGTGTGTTCTATGAGTGGCTGTTTGGACAACTGAGAAGTTCAGTGTTCACGTTAGTGCAGGGACAGGATGGCCTCGTGCCCGGATACACCCCAGAGGAGAGGTTGCCAAGGGCAAATCACTTCCTTGTGAAAGGAACAGCCCTTGGACTTGACTAGATAAAGTCTAAGAGCTTCCCAGCGTGTACCCCAGGATCTGGATGGGAGAGAGCAAAGGAAGAAGGAGGGAGAGTCAGTGACTGGCTGACTAGTGGACAGAGTATGGGGAACCCCGGCAGAACTGAGTCACACCTGATGCTCAGGACCCCAGAAAGCCAGCCTAAGATTCAGACCCCATGGCTAAATGTGTAGGAATGGAGTTACCATAAAGGTAGAGCTGCTATTTCCTCTCAGATGTGGACAGAGAGACAGAGAAAACAAAACACTGAATACCTGCTTTGTAGTACATACATTATCTCATCTAACCTTCAGGACGTTATAGGGCAGGGTTTTTTTTTTATCTCTATTAAACAGTTGAGGAAGCTGAGGTTCAAAAATGTTTAAGAAACTTGCCTAGAATTACGCTGCTAACAAGAGCAAAATTACCCTGGTAACAATGCAAACCCAAGTTCATATGATGTCAAACCCCGTGCTTTCTCCATTCTACCTCACTACCTCTAGTCTGGGTATAGTTGGATTCTAATCAGGTAAAACTAGAAAATAAAATTCATTTAAAGTGTCTGGCAAGACATGGTCACACAATAAATGGTGCCTATTATTAGTATTGGCTATCAGGGTTTCAAGAGGCTAGAAGCCCTGACATTGAACATGCTGGTACATGGCTGTACGCTAAAGATGTATTTAAAGTTTAGGAGATGAACCTTGATCTTCCTCTGAGCTGGGCATTAGCCAGTTTCACTCTCAATACTGGAACCCACCCCCCATGTGCAAACACAGCGTCTGTGACACACGACCCTCCCAGCTGCATGGCAGCCACAGCTTGGCAAAGCAACATGTTCCAATGTGGTAGAACTCGACCGTGACATAGTTCCTCATGTTGAACTGAAACCTGTCTCTCTGATCTAACTTCCATGAATTGGTTCCACTTCTGCCCTATGAAGTAACAAGTCTCTCCCTTCTTTTAAGCTTAGCCCATCAAGTATTTGAAGGCCACTGTGTATCCCTGTGTACTCTCTCCCGTCTTTCTCAGATAAATGTCTCCCAATCCCTCTAATAGGAAATGCTTTCTAGACTCTGTTCATTGTCCTAGTCTGCTTGATCTTGAGGGCTTTGTCAGTGGGCCAGGAGCTGGGCTTTCTCATCCCTCCCATAGTGGCCTGAGTGCCGAGTTCAGTGGGGCTGCTCCCTGCATCATTCAGGACTCTGTTGTGCGACTTAGCGTGACAATAGCTCTCAGCTATCTCATCACACTGTCACCTCATCTTCAGCCTGCAGCTCACTGAGGCCCTCGGGTCTTCTTTATAGGAACTGCTGTAGGGAGGTGTCGCCCACTCTGTCCCCAGTTGGCAGCTGACTTGATTATACACATTGGTCCTGCAGTCACAGCCCCAAGGTCTTGCAGTGCCCTGGACAGCAAGTCATCAGGATCTGGGGACACGAGCTCATTTGAAGTGCCTATGCTCCCTGGATGCCTTCTCTCTTGTTATAGGCGTCAGTCCCCTCAACCCTGTCTGTTCCTCGCTTTGTAGCTGCAAAATCGTTTTCCAGGGGAGAAGAGAAAGGAAGGGGAGGCATCACTACCCAGTAAGGTCTTACTTAGTCACTCTGAGGTCAGGCCTTCTTTCTGCTTTCAGTCAATGTAGTAACCACCTTCCCAGGCAGAGGGTTGATACAATCTATGTAACTACTCTGTAAGGGAAAAATGACTATTATCTTTTCTGTTATACAGACAGAACCAGGAACTGGAGGCTCTTGAACTTTAAACAACTTGTCCAAGGTCACATAGAAAGAGATGGATTCATGAGTCTAGTCCAGGTCGTCTGGTTCCAAAGCCTGCATGCTCTCCACTACACCAAGCTCATAGAAGATGTGTTTAGACATGGAGGGATGGAGGGATGGTAAGAAAGAGATTCTGCACACACTGAGAACCTGCAGGTGAGCTAACCTGAGTATGTAGAGAATGTGTCCCAGGTCACGTGGACAGCAAGCCTGTGAATGAACGTCCCAAACACCTGCTGAGGGGGTCTTCACCCACCCCCTCCAAGGCCATTCTTGCATTTCTCAGGGTTCTGCACAGCACCCAACAATGGAGGGCACAGGTAAATGCCTGGGAACAGGCTGGACTGACTGCACTCAACGCTACACCATTCATCATTTCACCCCTTGCCCCAAAGCCCAGAATACGCTCCACTGCTTTATATCCAACTGTGCCCCTCAGTTTAGGGTCCTCCAACCCTTGGACTGATCACACCTGCCTCACTTCATCTGTCATCATTTTGTGGTTTGGCCTCTCCTTCCTGGCCACCTGTTCTCCTCAAACATTGGTTCCTCTAGAAGCATTAGTGCAATGCATACAAGGTGCAACACGGTGTGAGATGCGCTGGCCCGCTGATACTTCTCTTATCCGTCCGAGCTGCCCGTCCATGTCCCACGACCTTTTAATGATTACTCCTCCAGGGAAATCTCACCTCTTTCCTCTGATCACTCCCATACTCTATTCCCCAGAGCTCTGTGGACAGATGGACCACAGGAATCAGGTCCTGCCTTTGCTGTCTGAGTTCTTCTGTAGGTGTAAATTGGACCCTCAGCACATTAGTGTAAGAATCTAGTCCCATGTTTTCTATTTTTTGTTTTTGTTTTCTTTTTGCAGTACGCGGGCCTCTCACTGCTGTGGCCTCTCCCGTTGCGGAGCACAGGCTCCGGACGCGCAGGCTCAGTGGCCATGGCTCACGGGCCCAGCCGCTCCGCGGCATGTGGGATCTTCCCGGACTGGGGCACGAACCCGTGTCCCCTGCATCGGCAGGCGGACTCTCAACCACTGCACCACCAGGGAAGCCTCGAATTCTATCACTTTGTTCTCTTGCAGTTCCCTGTGTAGGGAAAACTGGTGAGTCTTGTCTATGTCTCTTTCATTTCCAAGTGTGTCTCTGGGCCAAAACTTAATGGACAGGGAAAAGTCAGGGCCAGTGGGTCCCCCAGAAACATCTTCAGAGCAGCAGCTGCCTAGGCTTCTTCCTCAGGAGTCTCCACTAACGCCCAGGAAGAGGAGAAACCCAGCACTCCACTCTCTCAGTCTGAGCACAGATATAGGGTGACTCAAGTCCCAGAAGAATGGCTCTAGGCCACTATCCGGCTCCCTTATGAGTAGCAATGGCTTCAATCTCCTCCCCTCAGTGTGGCTCTGGAGCTCCTGTAACCTCCATTCATCAAGGCTCTGGACTCCCTTCCATCCCTCTAATGTTCAAAGAAGCAGGCATCTTTCTCTGTGGATCTTCCTTCTTTCTCTCTTGGCTACCTTTGCCCTCCCGCCCATCCTGTCCCACTGAACTCCATGGAGCCTCTGTCACGTAGGTGAAAACTCTGGCCTAGAAACATCTTGACCTCCAAGGACATGTTCTGTGTATGCCAGGGAGGGAAATCTAAACCAGTAGTTAGTGATGCTAGAAAGAGCAGCCAAGGAAGCAAGACCCATTATTCAGCTGTGCTGTGAGCATCGTTACCTAGTCTAGGGGGAGGGGAATGGGTTCTAGGGATCCAGGTGGGTCCAGGCAAAGGCAGGATGTTCTGGGACTCTCCTCAGGGCTCCCTGTCTGATTACTCATCACTACTCCCAGGCTTCTGAGGCTGTCGAGGATCAAAGGAGTATGTTCTGGGGCCAGACCAGCCTGGGATTGCCCTGCAGGTGATGCTGGGTCCCCAGGAGCTCTTCTCTTGTCCATGTCAGGACATAAAATGCATTTTAGAAATGAGGACAGAAATGACAGATCCTGCACCATGACTGTGGTGGAAATGAACCTCACCGCTGGGAGTGCCGATGGAGGCTGGGCCTGGGGAAGCCTGATGAGGGAAGCAGGAGGGAGCAAGCCCAGGCCGTGGCACATCCAACACCCACCCCTCCAGCTCCTCTCTGGTGGACAGGGGTGCAGCTACCATTAGAGGTGGACGCTGAAGAAAGAGCTGCATTGGAGTCACCAGAGGAAAAGAAACCAATCTAGGGGAGTGAGAATCTAATAAGGAGGAATGAAGCAGAACAATAGATGGAAGGAATCCAACTTGACTCAGGCTTGTCAAGGTGGCGGAGGAAAATGCAGTATGAAAGGAGACAAGGAGGGGGACTTCCCTGGAGGTCCAGTGGTTAAGGCTCCGCGCTTCCACTGCAGGGGGCACGGGTTAGATCTCTGGTCACAGCCAAACAAAAAAAAAAAAAAGGAGACAAGGAGGGGAGGAGGGAAAGAGGGCAGAGAGAAGGCACAGGGAGAGGAGGGGAGGGGAGGGGGGAATAGAGGAGAAGGGCAGAGGAAGGAGAGAGGAAGGAGGGGTGCAGGAAAGCAGAAGCCCTGCCGTGGTCTGGCATGAAGGCCTGGGAGACAGTGACAGCTGTGAAGGAGCTGACCAGGAGCCTCCATCTCAGGGAGGGGTGCGGGGGAGGGCTGTGGGAGGCATTAGGCTGGGGGACAGAGGGAGAAAATGGACTGAGGGACCTGCAGCTCCAGGGTGACCCTGTTCCCGTGTCTCACAGCCTGGCTGAACCTCCAAGTGCAGCCAGGCCCCGTGTTTGAAGGGGATATCCTGACTCTGCGATGCTGGGGAAAGAGGAACGCAGCACTGTCCCAGGTGAAATTCTACAGGGACGGAAAATTCCTCCATCTCTCTAAGGACAACCAGACTCTGTCCACGGGAACAGCAACAGTGAACAGCAGTGGCCGGTACAGCTGCACTGGACAGGTGACATACATGCAATATGTGGGCAGATGAACCTCAAGGACTGTCATGTTTCAAGTCCAAGGTGAGTCACAACTTGGGGGACTGGGGGGAGCGGGAAGGGTGCTGCTCAGGGATCTGGTCTTACAGGTCAGCAGCGCTCTGGGCAGCGCCCCTCTCTCTGGCTTCCCCTGATGCTGGGCCAATCTGCAGGGTCCTGAGATGTCCAGGATGCTGTCCACATGCCCTGCCCCGCCATGGGGCATGTCTGGAGCCAGGGAAGGGGGGGGAGATGCCCTGTGGGGAAAGGGAAGAACCAGCCCTGATGCTCTCCCCTTGAGACCCTGAGCCAGACCATTCTCCTCTGGGCACTAGGTGACCTTTAAGGCCCTTCTGTCTCTGGCCTCCTGGGACCCCAGAGGGGCTCAGGACTGTGGGAGTCGGTTCAGAGCTGGTGTGTGGGATGAGAGGCCAGGTGCTGGGAGACAGTGACAGCACTTCCCACAGGCACAGGGCAGGGCCTGGGATGTGCCGAAGCTCAGACTTCACCTCAGACTCCAGGGGCCTCGCTGTCCAGGACTCCCCTCCTGAGCTGCGGGCTGCCTCATCCCAGAGCTGTTCCTGCCTCCTGTGCTGAGAGCCCACCCCTCTCGTGAGCTCCGTGGTGGGAGCCCGGAGCCCACTCCCCCGTGAGGGGAGCCAGAGGTCAGCCTGGCAGCTCCTCTTCTCCTTGCACAAGGAGGGCCACACCCTGCAGGACAGGAGCCTCCACCCAGAACTCTGCATCCCAGCAGCCGAGGAGGGAGACTCCGGGCTTTACTGGTGCAAGGCGGCCCTTGAGGGTGGCTGGGTCCAGAAACAAGAGTCCCCAGCTGGAGGTCAGGGTGAAGGGAGGACGGGGAGACCCTCCCCAGGGGCCTGGGCAGTGGGGCCCCCTGGGAATGTGGGGAGGGGTTCCTAAGGGAGGAGCCTGGGGGGTCCCGCTGACCCTTCCAAACTGTGTGCTTCCCCGGTTCCTGTGTCCCGTCCTCTGCTCACCTTGAGACCCACCAGCCGAGTTGTGGAGCTCCTCCCCTCCGATCCTCATTCTACCTCAATGGGGACACCCTGCGGAACCACGTGGCTCCCCATGGTGGAGCCGTCTCCTTCCTCTTCCCGGTGATGTCAGAACAGGATGCTGGGGACTACACCTGCGAGGCTGAGAACAATGTCTCCAAAGAGACAAGCAAGGCTGAGACACTCTCCGTGGATGGTAGGTCTTGTCCCCCAACTGGGCTATGAGCCCCAGCAAGCTGGCCAGGGTCAGGTCTCACTCCTCTGTGTTCCTCGCGCCATGCTGGGTACAGAGCAGGCACTGCATGACTGCCTGAGCATGGACCCCGCTTGGAGCATCTGTCCACTGAACCTGGCAGGGAAACAATGAAGTCCACAGAGAGTGAGGGGCACCGTGGAGGGAGGGCCACATGGTCTTCCATGGAATTGCCCATCCATGTTGACATCCTTTGATCCGTCCCTCGTTCCCACTGGCAAGGCTCCTTCAGGCCAGGTGGCTCCCACTAATGCCAACCACCCTGCCTCTCCTGTGCCAGTCTGGGGTGCATTTGTTAATTTCATCCTCAATGCTCATGGTCACCCCTACTCACCCCCCAGGTCCTCGCGTCTTATCTGCCCCCACTAGCAACAACTGGCTGGTTCCCTGGTTGCCTGCAAGCCTGCTTGGCATGATGGTCATCGCTGCTGCACTTCTAGGGTATTTCAGACCCCGGAGAAAAACCGGTCAGTAACTCTTTCTGGCTTTCTTGATTGCCGAATCCCTATGCCATATACAGCCCAGCCATTGGAAAGCCAGAGGCTGACAGGACCAACTGCTTACTTCTGGGTATTGGGAGGAGGAGGGACTTTTCTTCACACGTCATACAAAGGGGCCCCAGGAGGGACACTTAACAGCTTCCAGAGCTCACACACACAGACACAGTGTCTCACACGCCCAATCACCCAGAGAGCGCACAGACACACTCCTGCCCACTGGGGCATGAATAAAGGCACAAACAGGATTGCTTACAAGCCAAACGAGGTGTAGATCGACGTCCTTCACATTTGGAAGACAGTCTGTGGCTGTGAATATACTGAACAAACCCAAGGCCTCCAGTTCTCTCGTTAAAGTCAGCAGAGCTCCGGTCTGCTTAGCGGAGGAGAAAGAAGACGTGAGAACTCCAGTGCACGTGCATGCTCACGCATACACACTTCTGTGCCCTGGGTGAGAGTCCATGGCTGTCAACTCATCAGGAAGGAAGTGTGGTGGAGAGCACTGGGGAATAGCCCGGTCCCAGCACTGCTATTTGCTAATTCAGTAACCTTGGGCCAGCTCCTTTCAAGTTTCACGAAATGTCTCCCTCTTGGGATGTTGTAAGGTCTGAGTTAGTGAGGTGACATCTGTCTCATACCTGATGTAGTAGCCTGGCACTGAGTGGGTGCTCAGTACATCCTCATTCTGTTCTGAGCACATCACCCCGGCAGGTTCCCAAACTGCCTTTGCTCCTGTTATCCATTCTGTAATTCCTCTGATCAGAGTCATAAAAAGTTTAGCTAAGGGTTTCCCTGGTGGCGCAGTGGTTGAGAGTCTGCCTGCCGATGCAGGGGACACGGGTTCGTGCCCCGGTCCGGGAAGACCCCACATGCCGCGAAGCGGCTGGGTCCGTGGGCCATGGCCGCTGAGCCTGTGCATCCGGAGCCTGTGCTCCGCAACGGGAGAGGCCACAGCAGTGAGAGGCCAAAAGTTTAGCTAAAATTCAGATGAGAGAAATTCTATAGGGAGAGAATTCTATAGGGAGAAATAAGTGAAAATAATCAGATAAATGGCGTTTCTAGGTCACCTATTGGTTTTGAAATTCCAGACTCTCCTCTTCTTCCTGTCATGGTCATGATAATTAAGCATGAATGTTGGCTTTCAAAGCAATCACCTTTGGCGGCTACAAGTTTATTCTAACCCTTGTTTGCCTGGGGCTATGTTGAAGGGAATGGCTCCCAGTGCCGAAGCTATCTGGTGCCAGTTTATTCCTAGGGTTTCAAATCCACCTACAGAAGTTCAAATCAACCTACTTCTTCCTCCCTGGGGGCAATATTTTTATTTTCCACTTGCCAAGGGCAAAAGTAATTGTTCTCATAGACCTCCAGCTAGATTTGCTTTTTCAAGTTTGCAGCTCCCTCAGTTAAGGAATTTGTGATGAGTTCTGAGAGCTAAGCCAGACTGTTCTTTGAGGAAGACCACCCAGTCCTGCAATCCAAGTAGTCTTCCCTGACCATCAGCCAGGATACCTGAAAGCATCTCTCCCCAGCCCTAGACCCACTACCTCACCAGGCACCCCAGTTAGGGCTTGAGCCAGGCTCCGACTTCCTCTCCCCTTTTTAATTTAGCAGCGTTTGTCCATCTAACTTCTCATCTCTCCTTTCCTTTAGTCTTGAGTCTAGATTTCATGAAGGCAGGCCAGAGTTGCTTTAAGGTATACCTGTGCAGTGGGAGAAAGATGGAGCCAGGCCCAGAGTTAGATGAGGAAGCAGCTGGAGTAGGGGACCATGAACTGAAGATCTGTGAATTCTACCATCTCTGCGCCTGTCATAAAGCCAGCCTGCTCTCAATAGCATGGGTGTTTCTGCCCACTCACCTCTGGGTCAGAGAGTTAAAGGCAAAGCAAAAGAGTACAGCCATCTCCCTCCCAGGCCCAAACAAGATGGTGGAGGAACAGTCACTGGTGAAAGATCTTCAAGAGGAAGATGCCTTTCACAGGGAACAAAGGAGCGTCCCTCTTCATGTGGCGATTTTGCCTCCCCACCCATTCCCACTCCCCTACCCCACCCCTACTGCCAGTCTGGGAGCACCTGGGCTCCATTTTGTTAAGGAACCTGTCTCTCATGAAAATAAGACTCCTGGTGGTGGGCCTATCATCTCAGAAGCTCAGGGGCACACAACCTTCCTTAGAATGTCACTCAGAAAACCACCTTCAGGCCCAATTCCATAGCCATGCAAGAAACACAGTCCAACAGCTTTTTTCTTCATGCCCAGCTTTAGAAGACCCTTAACCATTTCCAGACAGCATATCCATTCCTCAACAAACACAAATGTGCCACCACTGAAGATATTCCACAGACTGTATCTCTGAAGGCAATGTTCAAAACATTTTGACCAATTATGGAATTACTAGGACAAGGATGTGGTCACACAGGAGGTCTACTTCGAAGTAGCAGTTACCTAAGTGTGCAAGTTCTGGTTGTTTGCTTAAAAGTGTTCATTTCATTTCCCACTGTCACACCTCCCATAAAACACAGTTCCATCAAATTCACAGAGCTCTTCACGAATGGAGACTCAGAAACACAGCCTTGACAAATGAGCATTAGAGGCCTCTCTGAGCCTCCACAAATGCCCTCCTGGTTTTACAGGAGGAGCCATGTCCAAAGGTGCTACCTGACAACTCTGATGCTTTCTTGCTGTTAGAGCTAATGAATATTTCTTGGACACCAGGCATGAACCAGGTGACCCAACATCCACCTGTGACCCAATTCCTATCCCAAGAGCTAATTTTTAAAGTTCTGGAAACGCCTGCTTTCACAGAGGCAGCGTGCTAGTGGAGAAAAAGTGTACACACTGGATTAAGATTCTGTCTCCACCACTTTCTGTGTGACCTCGAAGAAGTCACCTCTCCCAACCTCAGTCACCTCATCTAAAAAACGGAAATCACAGCATCAACCTTTGCAAGGTGGTTGTGAAGAACCTCAGACACCGAAGATTTAGGTAGGGGGGCTTTTGTGACATCCAGCTCTGTGCTTGCCCCTGGGTTAGGAGGTTTGCTATTAAGTAGACGCTGAGTTTGAATTCCCTGGCCCTGTTTCTGGCACGTGGTATGTTGTCAAAGTTATTAGCTTTTCCTCCTTCTGAAAAGCAGCGTGACTGGTGGGTCTGAGCCCTTTCGATACAAGGATGTGACCCATCCTTTCTGACCCTGCTTCCTCCCAGTTTGTGATTCCCATGGAGCCATCCTCCCCTCTGGGGTATTTTTCAAAGGAAACATCCCATAAAAGTTAAACGTGTCCAGGGCTTCCCTGGTGGCGCAGTGGTTGAGAGTCCACCTGCCGATGTAGGAGACGCGGGTTCGTGCCCTGGTCCGGGAAGATCCCACGTGCCGTAGGGCGGCTAGGCCCGTGAGCCATGGCTGCTGAGCCTGCGCGTCCAGAGCCTGTGCTCCGCAATGGGAGAGGCCACAACAGTGAGAGCCCCGCATACCAAAAAAAAAAAAAAAAAAAGTTAACCGTGTCCAGACCTGTGAATTAACCCTCATTAACAAACCAGCCTCAGACCTCCAGCGACCTCTGCTGGCATTCTTTTTTTTTTTAGTTTAATTTTTTATACAATTTTTAAAGGTAATTTTATACAATTTTTAAAGGTAACTGACATTCTTTCTCTCAGCCTCTCTGTCCCCACTGTCGACTCTGCTCTCTAAGGGCGTTCAGTGAATTGTGCCTTTGCATCTCCTAGGGCCCCTTCCACCCCAGAATCTGCCCCCAGCCACAGGTGGAGAGGAACACCTACTGTATGTCAATGGTAAGGACTTGCAGTAGCACCAGTGTCTGTCCATAAAGGCAGAGAAAGGCCTCTTAAGGGGAGTCATGAGAAAGAAGGCCTCGTGAGCCCGAGTCTCAGGAATCAGAGTCATCTGGGGAAGGAAGCAGATGGCTTCTGGGGAGAGCTTAAGGGGCCAGTGCATGGAGCTGGTGGTGGGAGAGGGAAGCAGGAAGGGATCCCAGCCCCCAAGAGGGAGGTGTAGACCAAGGGTTAGCAAATTTGACCATGGGTCAAGTCTGGTCCACCAAGTATTTTTGTAAAGAGCATTGTGTATGTGTCATGTGTGGCTGCTATCACACTACAGAGCCAGGTATTTGCAAAACCTAAAATATTCACTACCTTTTTTACAGAAAAAGATTGCCAACCTCTAGTTTAAACAATGTCAGGGCTGGGGAAGCTGCTAGAATCTGCTGCAGGGGTCAGGCACCTCCTGCCAAGATGGATATCCCACATTAATAACTGCTTCCCACTGGCAGTTATCACCATAACAGCCCCTAATTAGCTTCCCTCCATAAGTGTTTCTGGGTCTTGAGGTGGGAGAGCAGGTGGGTCCTATTCAAGCTGCAGCTGTGTCTCTTCTTTCAGTTCATTGCCAGAATGAGAACGATGAAGGGGTTGTCTACTCTGTGGTACGTACGATCCCAAAGGAGAGTGAAAGGTGAGTGATCTCGGGTCAAACTTGACATCTTTGCTAATGTAAAGGGGAAGTTTGGGGCCTAGGGTGAGGTATCACTACCACCATCATCACCATGACAACTGTCATCACCCTGACCACCATCATCACCCTGACCACCAACATCACCCTGACCACGGCCACCTTCACCACCACCACCATCATCTCCTCCTTCACTACCACCATCACCACAAACAGCGCTATGTCCACCATAACCACCATCATCTACATCATCTCCACCACACCTCCACTGTTACCATCCCAACTAGGCAGGAATTTTTTTTTTTTGGCCCTTTTCTGAGCATTGTGGAGCAACAAAGGAAAAACAGAAAAAGAATGATACAGTTTGTCTTTGACCCTGAGTGTAAGTCTAAACAGGACAGTCTCAGCTCTAAGAGGGAGCCATAAAGACCATGAACCCTGGCCACAGATACCAGAGTCAAGATGGCAGGCACGGGGAAGGCTGGTCCACTCTCTAACAGACAAACAGGCAACGTGGAATCATGAGGGAAGTGTGGGAGTCAGTCAGAATTGAGTTCAGAACTTGATTCTATGTACTCAGTGTGTGCCTGTGGGCAAGTTATTTAAGCTCTCCGAGCCTAATCTATAAAGTGTAGATAAAGCCTACTTTGTAAGATTATTATAGGAATAGAACCTGGGTTCTAGAATCCATAAAGATTGTCTGGTATGCAATAGGTGTTCAAAAATAGGGAGCTTGTTTTATGTCTCACCTGTGCTGAGATTTCAATTCCTGGTCTGTAAAATGGATCTGAGTCAGTCTCGGGACTCTGCTCCCACCCATAAAGGGCACTAGGGAAAGTGGACAGCCAAGAAGTCTCTTGGACTCAGGGCACTTCTCCCAGGACCTGACCGGTTGCTGGCCAGGGCATTGCCAAGCAGATGGGAAAGCACACGTGGGTCCAGTTCCTTCCTGAGAAGAGTCACAATGAGGACTTAAACATAAGAAAGGAAAAAAGAAGCCAACCTCAGACTCTGTGGTTTTCATTAGCAAAATAAGGAAAATAAGAAAATGTGATCCTTTTAATCCTAGCAGGCAACAAGGGTGAAGGCATGATTCGGGGCAGGGGTGGGGTCTGGGACAGTCTGCTTGCAGCTCGAGCTCTGAGCAGGCTTTCCCTGTTGGGTGGGTGCAGGGATCTGAAACCCAGAGTAAGGAGAGCCGTTATGTTCCAAGATACATAGAAGGGGGGATAGTGGATCTTTTATCAGTGGGAGAATGCTTCACGTTCACAAAGATTCAATATTTGCCTACGGTTCCACTTCTTATGGAAGTGACTGTGGAGGGTTATTCACTTCGCTGAGCCTCAGTTTTCTCTTCCCACTGTGGGAAGGCATCAATACCCCCTACTTGGCAAGACTGATGTGAGATTGGATGTACAGAATTATAGTTCTGTTAGCTGTATACTAGATAGATCAGCTATATAATTTTCACAGCTAAATGGTTGCCTGGTGCAGAGTGGCTGTCTAATGGAGGAATTATTCTAGAAGTATCTTGGGCACCTTCTTATCTCTTGCTTCACACCGTAATCCTGCAAGGCAGTCACTGTCAACACCACCACCCTTTCCTGGTTGAAGCAGCTGAGACTCAGAGGCCAAGTGACTGGCCTCCGGTCACACAGCTGGGGTCTCCTGATTCCCAGGCCCACCTGATTTCAGCTTGAGGGTGAGAAGCCCTGAGAAGTAAAAGGGGGAGCAGCCCCCCACCCTGGCCGGCCCGTGTTCTCTGGAGGAAGGTGCCACGAGGAGGCGGGAAGGGGACACCCCGTGAACCCAGTGCCCTAACCTTACTGCTGCTCTTCCCCACAGCCAGGCCTGCCCAGTCAGCCCGGCGGGAAACGGTGAGATGGGACCCCTGCTCTTTGCTCATTCTCTGTGTGACGTCTACTTCCTCACCCTGACCTGACTCTCCCACAGGACATTTCTGTCATCTACACTGAGGTGAGACGCCCTCAGCTCAGTGAGGTTCCAGCCAAGGGGCTGAAGAGAAGAAGCAGGACCCAGCAAGATCCCGTTGGTGACTGCGAGGGGGTCCTCTGCTAGTGATGGCATCTCCTTCCCCCAAGACACACAGCCATCCGCAGCCCCCAGCGCTCCCCAGGAGACCAGCGGACCCCAGCCTCTTCTGTGGTCCTCCAGTTCCCCAGCCCAGCAGCCAGAACCCCCGTTTGTGGAGCACATCAGAAAACTCTGTTACCCCTTACATGTTTAAAAAGATACATGGTTGTAGCATCTATTTGCTAATAAAGGTGTATCAATTTGTTCCATATTGTTCATCAGTGGCAATCATTTGGGCTGCCTGATAATTTGGTCTGGTTTATTCAAGGAGAATGGACTCCCTGTGGACCTGACTGGTGATGAGGGAGATGAGAGGGCGAGGAAGGGGTAGAGTTGCCGGGGCAGGGGGTGGGAAGGGAGGGGAGTCCCAGTCCAGCCCACAGCCAGAGTGCTCAGTGAAGGATTTATATGTTTGCTCCTGTGAGGCCCTGGCCCCAGCTTGCAGGCCTCTGCACCGGAATCACGGAGAGTGAGGTCCGAGTTAGCAACTCTGGTACACTCCTCCCCTAGCAAGAAGTCTGCTTGTTCAGAGCACTCTTGGCCCCTCAGAGCTGCAAACATCTTGCATTTCCCCTTGAGCTTATTAGAAATGCAGATGCCCAGATCTGCATTTTAATAAGATCTCCAGGCGATTTGCAAGTACATGAAAGGGTTTTTTTTAATCATCTTTATTGGAGTATAATTGCTTTACAATGTTGTTAGTTTCTGCTGTATAACAAAGTGAATCAGCCATATGTATACATATATCCCCATATCCCCTCCCTCGTGCATCTCTCTCCCAACCTCCCTATCCCACCCCTCTAGGTGGTCACAAACCACCTAGCTGATCTCCGTGTGCTATGTGGCTGCTTCCCACTAGCTATCTATTACATGGAAGTTCTAAAAGCCTGGTCTACCTCCAAAATCCAAAAGTCATGCAAGTTAATCAGTCCACTTGCCTTCGGGAGCTTAATTGCCTGTGGTTCTGCTCTGGGTAAAGACAGTGGATAAGGCAACCCATGCTAGCCTTTTTTCTCACTTGTCTTCTACTCCGTTTTCTCCCTTCCCTCCTCCCAACCCAACCCTTCGTCTTCCTCATCCTCCTGTCTCTGTCATCACCAGTCAAAATCCACAGTCAGAATACACCAGGGTCCCCTCCCCTTTGCCTCCTTGGTTCTGCCAGGATGACTGAGAGGCACACACCGTCTAGAAGCACAGGGTCTTCACTGATCAATCAGGAAGCACCCCCGACGCTAAGCCCTCGCCACGCTCTCTGTAAATGAGTCGCCCCCTTCTAAAAAGTGAAAACATCTCCAGTCGCCCCCACAGGCCACCTGCTTCCTGAGCTTTCATACCTCCCTCCTCCCTGCCCGACACCCGAGACACTCAACGCCTGGTCCATGGACTGTCTGTGAATTGGATTTACCAGTCCAGGCAAGATAATAGAACAATCGCAAGCAAAAATTTAGGAACTTTTATAGCAATCTGACAGAGTAATTTTATGTTTGTTTAAATATAATTATAAAAATTAGGGCTCACATTTGGTACCTCTCTTTTAATTTTTATTTTTGGTAATGTGTTTTTATTATAATTTACAAAGTATAGCTCCACAGTGGATTGGAAATAAAAAAGAAAAACAGGTCCTTCAACACAGGAAGGTGAGAAGTCCTATCTTACACACACACACACACACACACACTCACACACCACTGGCCTGGTCTCTCAGACACTTTGCTCTCTCCTCAGACCCTTAATTTATAAAAGAATGAGCTGGGATTTTCCAAAATGAACAATTACTAAGAAAATTAAAGGAAAAGAGAATCCCCAAAAGAACATAGAGAAAACAGAGTTTTCAGAGGAAACCCATACCCTTCAGCCCAGACTCTCTCTGGTTTGCCTGATATCAGCACACCCAGCCCCAAATCCCATCTCCAGTCCTCAGAGCAGCCAGCTACTTCTGTTCCTAGAGGATGCTGTGGGCAGGAGAGGAAGGGCCACCGCCAAGGGAGGATGGGACCCTCACAGTTCTCCAGGGCCAGACCCTGCAGACACAGAAAAAGGATGCCACATTGCCCAGCCTGCCACTGTGCTGCTCCCCACAGGAATGCACACAAGCTACCTCCACACTTGATCAAGGCTCTGAGCTATGAAACCTTATTTTTCTCTCCAAGCCAGAGCTAAATGCAGACACATATCCAGCAGAGGTGAGTTGGCTGTGCCTCATCTAGAGACCTGTGCTTTGTGGGGTCATATCACTTACAGAGTAAGAAGAAAAGAAAGAACTTCTTAGCTGGGATGGGGATGGAGAGGTAGCCTGGAGCTGCCCCCTTAAGGTAGAGAGTAAGAGGACAGCCAGCAGCCTCAAGGCTGCCCTCTGGTGGCCCTCTTGGGTAGTCGGGGACCTGAGCACCAGCCTGCGCTGTGGTCGGATCCGTTCATCGGACAGCTTCTTTGTAAGATATCATTAGACACCCCATCTTTGTCTTGTATGTGGCTACACCATTTAGATACAAACAATAAAAATGGAGCATGGCCTTTTCCTGAACCAGGCAGGTTGCACATACTGGAATTTCTTTCAGTCCCAGGTTTGTTATTTTTAATTTGGCTAGGAAATAGACCTCCTACCTTTTTATTTAAATAAGCATCCACTAAACAGCTCTGTGTCCTTCATCTTTGAATCAACTGTGATGACGGTAAGCACAGACAAGGTGCACAGCACGGGAAAGACCCAGGCTTTCCCATATCATATCTCCGTCTACACGGCCGGAAGAAGCGGCACCCAGCAGACCTGGAGCATCACTAAGGCTGCTCACTCAGCACGCACCACTCTCTGTGAGTGAAGAGCCTATGTTGTACTCGTTTCCGGAATTCTCTCCCATGTGCCGTACAGATGAATCGTGACTGTTCCTTTCATGGTCAGGAGCGCGATCACTGTCATCACCTTCGTGTGTTCCTGATCTCGCGGGGCTTACACACGCTAGGTGTTCAATAAACGTTTGCTCGGTACATTCGTGTGCACAAGATGGGAATCCAACAAATGCTGGGTAAGTGAGTGAATGAAGAAATGAGTTTCCAGCCTCCGGCTCTCTACCTCAACACAACACAGTTGTGGCTTTGTTTCTTTTTTGTGCAGCCTTCCTTTGACTCTCTGGGAAGGTATGACTTTGCCTCAAAAGCAGACCCTACCAAAGCCTCAGATGCCTCCCACCCAGTCTCCCACGAGCTATCTCATAGGCTCCTTCTTTTTCCCCCCTCCTCAGTTTTCCCCCTTGCAACTGTGAGCACCATGCCCCTGGTCCATCGAAGGTTCCATTCCCTCTAACTACTCCCAGCAGGGCCAAGATGAGGGTGAGGCAAGAGAAGTGCCCCGGGCACAAATACTGAAGAGGGAGTTATCTTCGGGGCTGTGCATGCATGAGAGTTGCCTCTGGGACAGGTAAAGTACTTCCATTTCACACATGCATGCACTGCCTCAAACCCAGTCTCCATCCACATGGCAGCGCCACTGCCCAAGCGGGCTGCCAAGGGAGGGGCGCACATGGGCTCCCCTGCCCAGGGCAGCCTTTGGGGCTGGCATGGTGTCGGCTAGCAGATGGTGCAGGCAGCTGGTCCACTCTATGGGAACCGCGCCGGTGAAGGTAGACACAAAGACAGGGCTCAGGTGGGGCCCTACCTGCTCCCTCAGCCCCATCCTGCACAGTCCCCTGGAAGTGGCACCCAGAGGCCCACCCACCCTCCAGCAACACTCCGCCCTCTTCCCTCACCCCTGCCTTCCAAAAGCCCGCTGAAGGCCCCTCCTTCCTGCCCGGCGCTCTTCCTCTGCCTCCTTCTCTGCCAGCTCCCTTCTCTCCCCAAACATCTCACCTTTTCTTTTCCCTTCTCCACTTCCCCCCATCCCAGGAGAAGCAAGGCCCCATTCTGCCCTCAGGCCAGTCCAAGGAACAAGGACGAGTGTGAGTGGACAGAGACAGGGCATCACTTGGACCACCCTTCACACCCCATCAAATTCCACCCAGCCCTGAATCTCTGCACCACGCTGCTCTCAGGGCTAAGGGTTGAGCTCAGATGCTGGTTTGGCCACATTTTACACCTGCTCCCCACTACCCCCACCCCAGCCCACAGCGCAGGTGGGATAATGGCAGGTGCAGGCCACTCTGCCTGGCAGATGGGGCTACTACTGCACCTGCCTGGGCTGCGGCAGAGGCTCCCGGCTTCCCAGAACGGCCCCAGGGAGGCTGAGCGCAGCCCCGGCTGCCAGCTTCTCTCTTAATTAAAGAAGGTGGGGAGTGGCCCCTTTGAACTTACTAGCTAATTTACTCCATGCACTCCCCCTGTGGCTGGGTTATTAATGTGGTCTGAACCAGTAATTAGCACTGGAGGGGGGGGAACCTGCCACCGCAGACTTAACTCTTCCTGTGCCTCCATCAGTCCATTCTTCGCCAGCTGTCACAGGGCTGCTGGAAGTTTTTCTTTTGGGGGAGGTGGGTGGGATATTTTCAGGTCCTCACCCAACCTCCCCCTTCCCACTTTCTCAGCCTCCCTGAAATTCCCCTAAAGGAAAAGGGCTGGGGTGGTGCATAGAAGATTGCAACTCATTTGCTGCTTGGAGGAACCACTATGGACCACCCCTTCTGCTGAGAGGGAGTGTGACTGCCCACTGTCCCCTCCAAAGGAACTCAGCATCCGTATTCCCAGCATTCACACACCAGCCAGACTCCTGCATTCCACGGCCACCCCACACCTGGCCTTGACATTTCAGAATCATTCAATCCACTTCAACACATGCTTGAAGGGTACCACCTCATGGAAATCCTGTCCTTGGCGATATACAGGGTGCAGAAATGAAGGGGGTCTGATCCCCGCCCTCAGGAACTGGGAGAAGAGAGTTGAAGCAGGGCTGCTGGCACCTCAACACTCCTTTACCTGCATTTGCCCAGCTTTCCCTTCTTCCCTCTCTCTGGCCACTTAGTAACAATGGTTAATTTTTTTGAGAGCTGATTGTCAACTGAAATTAAAATGCACAACGTGAGTTTCCTTTTTATTTGGGGACTTACGGAGGACTAGAGCCCGGGAGACAGCCTCTCAGATAGCTCTGAGGAACTGCTCTGAAGAGGTAGAGGGGGAGGTCAGCATATACGTGATTTTGGAGAAAGAGTACGTGCAATTAAGCACACATTTTGGTAGAAGGTTACTGCTTGTCACGAGGCACAGCTATCTTAGTTAATGATTTTAGTGCTTTTATAAGTATGGGAAGATGCAAGAAATTGGCTTCATAAAATATCTGAGGGTCTGTTCTGCCTGTTTTCCCAGAGCACAGAATGGCTCATCTTGATTGTCACCCTGAATTCCTTTCAAGGTGTATTGTAGGTCAGCAACTGCAGTAGCCAGTAACTTGTAGAACTGGATGGTGGGCCACATTCTTTAGTTTACCTGACTATGCACCAGACCCTATTTTAAGTGGTTTCACCCTTACGGCACCACGAAGAGGTAGATACTGTTATTAATCCCCATTTCGTGAATGAAGATGCCGAACACAGAGCAGCCACTTTGCTCAAGGTTTCACAGCCAAAACCTGAACCCAAGAAGCTTGACCCCAGAGCTTGAGTTCTTAAGTCCTACCCTCACCCTCATCTGTTTATATCCTAAGGCTCACCTCAAACACTACCCACTCCATGAGGCCCACCTGGCCTCCTAGCCCCCCAGCTGGCTCCCACCCATCCACCCTCGGGCTCCCATAGCATCCCATGCACGCAGCTGGCATTGCTCTGACCACACTGATTGTAATTACTGGGTTACACGTCTGTCTTCTCATCTAAACTGCAGACTCCTTGAGGGCAGAGGCTGTGCCTTTCATCTTTGTGTCCCCAGCACCTGACACGTAAGTAGATGCTCAATGAATAGCTGACACATGGATGATGGAATTGACAGTGGAGTCATAGATCAGTCCTCTCCCTTGGCCTCTGTGTCCCATAGGCGGGTGGTGTCCGAGTTCTGTCACAACTCCAGCTCTGCCCCTTTCTCTCTAGAGAGTTCCTTTCTACTCCAGTCAGGACAATCACAATAGTTGCTACCCGGACCTCCCTGCCTCTTTTTTCTCCCCCAGTCAGCCCTGCACGCTGTCCTCCCACTAGCAAGTTAACCCCAAATGGACAGCAGCACACCCCCCCCCCCCCGCTCCAAGCAGTGCTTCTCAGAGCCCTCCCTCCATTCACTAGCTCAGAATCACCTGGAGTGCAGTGTTTGTTAAAACTACAGGTTCCTGAGCCCCAGCCCAGCCCTACTGAACCAGAATCCCTGAGAATCCAAGTTTTCAGCACGGGTGAGAGTTGCTGGCCTCCAGAGTAAAAGCCTAAACTTAACCCAGTACTCAAGGACCCCATAATGTGACCCCCAGCCTCCCTTTCCATTTTACCCAAGACAGCCCTAAAGGATCCCTCCCTCTGCTCCTTCACTGTCTCTGGAGCCCACATGGGACCTCCCCACTGCCAAGCTTTCCCCTCATGCTCAGAGCCCACCCCCAACCTCTGGCCCTCCCTGTTTTCTAAGCCTATCCAAATCACATCTATCTTCAAGATGCAGCCCAAATTCCACCTTTTAAGGAAGTGTCCCCTGCCCACATCCACAGAGACCTCTTCCCATGCCCTCTTGCAGCGTGGACTGTCTGTGCTGCTTTTTTTTTTTTTTTTTATAAATTTATTTATTTATTTTTGGCTGTGTTGGGTCTTTGTTTCTGTGCGAGGGCTTTCTCTAGTTGTGGTAAGTGGGGGCCACTCTTCATCGTGGTGCGCGGGCCTCTCACTGTCGCGGCCTCTCTTGCTGCGGAGCACAGGCTCTGGACGCGCAGGCTCAGTAGTTGTGGCTCACGGGCCCCGCCGCTCCGCGGCACGTGGGGTCTTCCCAGACCGGCGCACGAACCTGTGTCCCCTGCATCGGCAGGCGGACTCTCAACCACTGCGTCACCAGGGAAGCCCTGTGCTGCTCTTTTGCACAGAGCCGTGTCTGTCTGTTGTGGGCCTTCCCTCCCCAGGCATATCTTGTTCCTACAATTTGGTGGTGAGTAACTGGAGGACAGGAACCCTGTTCTGGAATCCTCCTGCCCACCTGCCACCACATCTGCCTCGTGCCCAGCTGGGTCCAGAGCAGAGCGTTCAGTTTGACTGACAGGTCAGAAGCTCTGCAGGACTAGATACCACAAGCCACACTCAGGAAGCTCGGAGATTTTCCTTATCTTCTCGCTAAGCCTTCCCTGACTAAAGAAACCAAGTTACCGCCGCAAGTGAGAAGAGAAACGGAGTTAGGATGGAGCAACTGGCAAAAGGGACCACACTCGGAAGGCTGAAGCTCAGCTCATAGCTCTGCTTCTCTGTGACCTCCGAAAGGTGCTAACTTCACTCTGGTTTTCAACCTCCCCCATCTCTAACAGGGTGATAATCAGATCCTCTCAGAGGAGAGTTGTAGGGCTTCCAGGAAGCAAAATATGCAGCAATCTCTAGAATTCACACCCTGGTTTAACAAATGTCCATTAAGCATCCATGACATGCCCAGCACCGAGGGGTACACAGAAATGAATATGAGACCTTGGGAACAAACAGTCTGTGGAGATGAGAAAACTGTTGTGAAACAGTGTGCTAAGAGTTATGACAGGAACGGGCAGGCCCTGGGCACCCAGAAAGGAAGGTTCCTCATGCTGCCTGTGGTCAGGAAGCCTGGAATGGGAGTCCAGCCAGCTGCATAGCCTGCATAGCCATGCCACATCCAGAAGGATGAATGGAACAAGTACAACGAACGGAAGTGTGGAATTGGCAGTTCTGAGAAGAGGCAGTCCTGGCTTGGCGTGGTTGGAGAGCGGAATGGACGTAGGACGGCAGGCTGGAGAAGCAGGCTGGAGTTGGACTTAGGAGAACCTTGTACGCTAAGCCAAGAGTTTAGTCTTTATCCTGAGGGCAGTGGGAGGCTGCGGAAGAATTTTAAGCAGAGAGGTGATGATGGGAATCGCAGTTAAGAGGATTCTCTGTGGTGACAAGAGGAAAGGCAGGGGGCAGCAGGGCAGAGTGGGATGTGGGGATGCCTGGCGGGAGTCAGCGAGGAGGATGTGGGCTTGTGCGGGGGGGACTTGCCATCTGCATTGGCCAACCATAGGCATTTGAAAGAGGCTGACTTACAAGAATCAGCTCCTGAAAGAGCCCAGCTGGACCCGAGGCCAACTTCCACTTTCCTCTGGATATTTTCACTTTCAGGACGTCCTGTTCTGAGTCAACATTCCTCCTTCTAACCATGGGACTTTCCAGAAGGACCACAGCTCCTTCCATGCATCCACTTGACCTGGGATGTTCTGGATTTGGCTGTCGAGCGACTTTGCCTGACTCTCCGGAGTATGGTCGTGGTGTGGTCCCTGTGGAGTCTGCTTCTCTGGGAAGGTAAGTGGGGCAGGCGGGTGGCCTGGCCTCAGAGAGCTGAAGTCCCTTCCCCAGACATCCGGGCAGGATCCTCTCCCCAACCCTAGTGAGAACCCAGGAGCTGTGGAGGGGTGGGGAAGACTGAAGCAGGTTCTTGGGCAACATTAAACGCTAGGCAGAGGCAAAGAGATGCAGGATCCTGAATAGAAGGATGGCAGCACAAGGAGCCTCCATGTCCCTGAGACACAAGCTGTTTTGTGGCCCAGGGAGGTTAAAACTGAGGCTGGTGGTACCATTGTTGTTTTTTTTTTGTTTTTTTGTTTTTGTTTTTGCGGTACGCGGGCCTCTCACTGTTGTGGCCTCTCCCGTTGCGGAGCACAGGCTCCTGAACCGCAGGCTCAGCGGCCATGGCCCACGGGCCCAGTCGCTCCGCAGCACGTGGGATCCTCCCGGACCGGGGCACGAACCCGCGCCCCCTGCACTGGCAGGCGGACTCCCAACCACTGCGCCACCAGGGAAGCCCCCCATTGGTTTTGAAAGAGATGGTCGTGAGAATGTGAGGGTCTGGCAGTGTTAACACATGCAAATTCTAAATGTGGTCTGGGGAGAGCAGGGGAGGGCAGGCCTCTTACAATCTGAGGATGTCTTTCCAACAGCCTGTGGGAGAGCTGAGGCTCCTCCCTGCAGGTCTGTGGAAGTGGACATTCAGGAGGGATGAGAGACAAAAGCAAGTTAATATATTGCCTGTGGACTTGGGGTGGTCGATAGCGCTGTGATGTCAGAAGAGACAAATCAGGTCTCTTCAACACTGGGCGACACCACCCCCCCCCATCCTGTCCAATGCCTGACTTCCCTCCCTTGGTTAACAAGTGGTCAGTATGACAAGGGCCAGCGCTGCTAGGCCAGGGGATGGGAGCCATGGGGTGTGGCAAGTACTCAGACACTTTTGTTTGTGTCAGAAGCTCACAGGGACTTCAAAATGATTTTGTCTGATGTCCCCACCTGAGTTCCTGGCTCCAAAAGTCTGCAGATTTCAACATTTCTAAACATGTGAAGGAAATCCTGCCAAAAAGAGGGAATCTGTTTGGTTCACAAATCTTTCAAACCCGTGGACATGGGAAGCAAAAAGAATTTTTCTGAGTGGTAAAAGAGATGAGTACCACTGGTTGAATGCACCCCCCTGCTTTACGAATGGGACAACGGAGGCCTTTAGAGGGAAGAGGTATGCTGAAAATTGCACAGCTTGTTAATGGCAGAGCCAGGGCAGGATAGAGCAGGAGTCTTGATTGACATCCAGTGCTATGCTCTCTTTATGGGACGTCTCCACTGTACCTTAACCCTGAAGCCATCCGCAGTTAGGACTGAGATGACTGGGGCTGGCAGGGCAGTGAGACGGACAGGAGACTGGAGTTACCAGCGTCTGGCTGAGTGATCATCCAGAACACGGCTCCCTAACTAAACTCCCAGCACTTGGGTGTGTTCTCCATCTGCTTTTATTCTGCTCTGAACCCTCGTGCCCACCACTGTGCTGGGTACGAGGGAAGTCCTCAGCCAATTTCGTCATGCATTCAGTATATCTTCCGAGCTTCTCCTACATCCCACTCCTAAACTGTGTTGGGCACAGGAAGTACAAACATGAGAAGAGGAACTCACAGTCTCATGGGACTCATAAACAAGTGGTCACAATAGAGGGATAGGAGCATTTGTAGTGGTGATCCCAGCCCGCTGTGGGAACACAGAGTTTGTAACCTGCAGTGACAGATGGCAGAGGCCAGGGGAGGCAGTGATGCTTCAAGGAGGAGCAGAAATTAGTCAGCAGAGGAGTCAGAGGGGCACTTCAAGCAGAAGTGTCACCCACACAAGTCACACTGAATATGTTCCCAGCAAAACAGCCTCTTGACATCTCACCCCCATTCTGTTTCTCCTCTTGTTCTGGATCACAGAGAATGGCATCCAGTGGGTCCCAAGGACCTGGGAGCCATCCTTGACTCCTGGCTCCCTCACTCCCCAGATCTAATCTGTTACCAGACCCCACTGACTACACACAGTAATCTCTCCATTCCTCCCGCTTCTGCCTGTCTCAGCTGCTCACTTCCTCAGTACAAGTTTCCATTGTACCTCCAGTACAAGTACAACCCCGCTCTCCTTGGGATTAATAGACGCAGCTTCAGTCTTGCCCCACCTCCCGTGCAGCCTGCACACCTCTGCTGGAGTTGTCTTTCTCACCATGGATCTAATCACGTCACTCTCTTACTTAAAGACTATCCAAGGCCCCCCATCGCTCTAAGGATAAAGGCCGAACTCCGAAGTTGCTTTTCGGGCCCTGCAGGATCTGGCTCCCACAGACTCTGCAGTGCTATTTCTTACTCCCTCTGCAGACAACTACTTTCAGTTCCCCACAGTGCACCGAGCTCTCTCACCGTCCGGGCCTTTGTGTGTGCTGCCCACTTCGTCTCTAACACTTCCCCATCCCCACTCCAGGCCGCCCTCTGCTTGACCTGGCTGATTCCCATTCCTCTTTCCGGTCTCAGCTTAACCTTTTCTTCTCTGAGTCCCTCAAGGCCTGGCAAGGTCACCCTATCAGCCTACCTATGTTCTCCCGGGGCACCCATTTTTGCCACCATGGTAAATGGCTGTCTTAAGAGTCTGAGCTCCATGAGCACAGGGACTGGATTCCCTCCCTCACTGTTTTATTCCCAGTCCCTGGCGCAGTGCGCTCTCAGTTTGGGTGGAGGGAGTGTGGAGAGAAGGGCCCTCACTCGCTCCGCAGCAGCTCAGCTGCACGCAGGAGAGAGATGAGGACGTTTGGGGCAGGCAGAGTGATGGGGTTCTGTCCTTTCAGCACTACTTCCCTTCATTGTCACCGGTGCCCGAGTTCAGGGCCAGGTGGGGGGCTCGGCGCTGCTGGTGGCAGAGCGCCCTCCCGGCTTCCAAATCCGAGAGGCCATCTGGAGATCCCTCTGGCCTTCAGAGGAGCTCCTGGCCACGTTCTTCCGGGGGTCTCTGGAGACGCTGTACCACTCCCGCTTCCTGGGCCGAGCCCAGCTGCACAGCAACCTCAGCTTGGAGCTGCGGCCACTGGAGTCTGGAGACAGCGGTAACTTCTCCGTGCTGCTGGTGGACAAGGAAGGTCGAGCCTGGACCCAGACCCTACAGCTCAAGGTGTATGGTGAGTGCGCCTGACTCAGGCTCTCTGCCCCACCTCCTCCCACAAAGCTCCGGAAAGGCATCCTGGGTCCTGGAAACTGGGGAGAACTGGGGTCTAGAAACCTCTGGCCTCTGACCTCATGGCTGATTCAGGGAACAGCTGCTTCCCCACAGGCACAGGTAAGAAAACTCCTCGGGTTCTCGCAGGTGAGCTTCTGGCTGGGGCAGCCAGGCTTTTCCGCCCTACTGTCCTGGTCTGAACCCTAGCTTGGTCTTTTCTTATCTCAGTGGCCTTGGACACAATACTTACTCCCTGACATTGACCTTTCTCACTTGTAAAACCAGTATAGTAATATTACCATGAAAATCCCAATAAAGGTAAAATCAGTGGCATTTGCGAAAGCATCTGGGATAGAGGCTGGCCTAGGCATCATCAATTCTAAGATAACAGGTTATAAGACGTGCCATTATTTTATGCACCACCAAAAAGAAAAATAAGTATTGCAATTAAACTATGACACAATGTTTTTAATTTAAAAATTCATTTTAACTAAAGTATAGATTTTTTTTTTTTTTTTTTTTCTGTACGCGGGCCTCTCCCTGTCTTGCCTTCTCCGTTTCGGGGCACAGGCTCCGGACGCGCAGGCTCAGCGGCCATGGCCCACGGACCCAGCCGCTCCGTGGCACGTGGGATCCTCCCGGACCGAGGCACGAACCCGCGTCCCCTGCATCAGCAGGCGGACTCCCAACCACTGCGCCACCAGGGAAGCCCCCTAAAGTGTAGAATTTTTATGTCATATTTCTTAGAAGAGCTCTTTTAGATGTATTGAGAGATTTTGAATTTACATCATTCATGGGTATTCTCTGTTATTTGTTATTGCAAAATAAACCATCCCCAAACTTACTGGTTAAAAACAACAAATATTTTTGTTTCTCACAAGTCTGACTTGGCAGGGCTCAGCTGAGGTGATCCTCTGTTCTGTGTAGGTTTGTTAGGGTCATTCCTAAAGCTGCTCTCAGCACCTCAGCTGCGGTGACTGAATTCACTGGAGGCTGGATGGGTCTTTCTTTCCAGCAACTTCACCTCCACCTCTGTCACAACCAGCACCTCCACAACCACCGCCACCATGCCCTCCATCACCTGCACCACCATCACCACCTCCACCTCCACCACCTCCACCATCACCTGCACCACCATCACCACCTACACTTCTACCACTGCCACCGTATTTCTGCCGGTAAAGATAAAATGGCCTTTGAGCTCCTATTCATGTATCTAGTGGCTTGGAAAAGATATGTCAGTGACCCCTATGTCAGTAAAACCTCAGAAATTGAGATAGAATAAGGGGAGGAAAAGGTCCAAATTTAAGAATGGAGAGTAGGGGTGATAGCTGGGCAGAGCGAAACACTGAGGGAGAGAAAGGCAGTAGCAAACTGGAAAGAGAGAGACCCTCCCACACCTAGAGGAAGACAACTGGCTCATCACTTAGGTGAGCCACACGGGCTGCCAGTGTACAATTAAATGTGTGTCCTTTTCGATGCACACGACCCTGATCCATGTTGCACCATGTTGGCAAGCAGAGTGCTGGCTGGAATTCAGCACCCCGCTCTCACCTGTTACCCCCTGAGCCCAGCGCCCTTGCACAGTGAACAGCCTTCACAGCCATACAGGCAGCTAGGGAGGCTCTCCCCCGTTCTGAGTCTCAGCTGCCACATATGTGAAATGAGGACGTTGAATGTGATAATACATGCAGCACCCACACCACTAAGCTCTAAAATGCCTTGTTCTCAGCATCTGAATTACAGATTTGAAGGAAATTGCTGTTTTATTGCTTCCAAATACGTAGCGTGATTAGAACTAATTGCACAAAGCTGCCAAGCAGCCGTCCTTAGGAGCTCTGCTTTGACAATAGATAAGAATGATTTGAATTAGCAGATCAGTTACTAGAAATGTCAATGGGTGTTTCTACTGTGCCTGATCGTGTTTGGAAGCAGCTTGTCCTCTGAACTAGTGTAAATATCCCCCTCCCCTGTAATCTTTGTTTATACTATTAGGGCACCCAGCAAATCTTTTCTTTTTTCATATCACAAATCCCACCAGATTGAGCTGGCATTAATGAGGTTTTACTCAGCTTAACTTTGGAATGCTCTCAGAGACTGAGCCCTCCCACTGTTGCCAGAATGCTCTCCCGCTGGCCCCCTTTGCCATGAGACTCATGATCTACTCATCAACCAATGTAGGAAAGGGCAGCCATGGCCTGGGATGCCAGGACACCAATTTGTCCAATGGCCCAGGTAGCTGAGCACCCTGAGAGCAAGGGTTATGGAGATAACAAGGTAGAGCCCCTACCCCCTGGCCTGCTCCTTCACAGAATTTTGCATCCTTGTGATAATTTTCTTAGTTATTCATAATCACTTGTTAGTATGTCTTCTTCACCAAACTCCAAAATCTCCAAAAGTCCAGGAATGTGTTTGTTGTTTTTGTGCCTACCTTAACAAACGTTTATTGTCTCTCTGACTGATGTATCATGTATCAGGGAAATTTGATGACAAGGGATACAGAAAGTTCTCAGAGGGCTCAGAGCCATACCTGGAATATCAGAGAAGGCTTCATAATCAGAGCAGTAAGGAGTGTGTCCAAGCTGGGCCTTGGAGGATGAGTAGGAATCTTCTAGGAGGGTGAGACGAGAAAAGCATATGTGTACAGCTGAGCCATATGAAAGATATGAAGCATGACACGTTTGGGAGAACAGGAAATTAATTAAGATGGGTGGGGAGGGTCAGCAGGAGGTACAGCTGGAGAGGTTGACATCAACCATTTAATGAAGGATTTTGAATACCAGACTTAGAAATTCAGCTTCTGTCCTGTGGGCAATGGGAGACTGATGTGGCTTTAGAGCCAGAGTGGCCTAGTCAGAGGTGTCACCTAGCCCTGCATGGATCCCAGAGCTGGAGCTATGGGCCCCGCTCAGCATCCCTATAACCCACACTGGCTCCGCTGTCCTTGCTCAGGTGCAGTGCCCAGGCCCGTGGTGCAAGTGTTCGTTGCTGTATCAGGGGATGCTCAGCCCCCCAAGACCTGCCAAGTGTTCCTGTCCTGTTGGGCTCCCAACATCAGCGACATAACCTATAGCTGGCGACGGGAGGGAGCCATTGACCTTGATATCAAGCCAGGTGGCCTCTTCATGGATGGACAGGTGCTGAGTGTGTCACTGGGACCAGGTGACAAAGGTGTGGCCTATTCCTGCATTGTCTCAAACCCTGTCAGCTGGGACTTGGCCACAGTCACCCCCTGGGAGAGCTGCCATCACCAGGCAGGTATGCCAAGGGCTAGGGATCAGTGGTTGAGGGATTGTGAAGCATCCAGTCCACCTGTGACCCTGCCCCCTCCATGTCCAGCTCCAGGGATGGCCTCCTACAAAGATGTGCTACTGGTGGTGGTGCCTGTCTTGCTGCTTGTGATCCTGGCTGGTCTCTCTGCCTGGCACTGGGGCCCCTGCTCAGGTAGGAGTCCTGCGAGGGCCAGGGGTGGCTGGAGGAGGTAGGTCTTCTGGGAAGGAGGGCCAAGTTTGGACCTCCTCCTATTTAGGCTTACCTCTCCCATGTCATCTCTTGGCCCTCTCCATCTAATATTCTGGTCTCCAGTCAGACTGAACTACCTGAAGTTCCTTTAGCAGTTTTCAAATGAGCTACTCTCTTGCGTGCCTCTGCAGGCATTTGCACATCCTACTCTTTCTGTCTGGAACACACTTTCCATAACTTCCCACCCAACTCGCCTTCTTCATTTGGCTGCCACCTCCACCATCTTCAAGGTGTGCCCCCTGCAGGAAGCCTTCCCGACCTTCTCTCCCACACCCAGGCTGGGTTTGTGCCCTGCCTTGACTCTCCAGTGCTCATCTCAGTCACAGCACTTACTGCCTTCACTCTCCCACGGAGTTCTCAGGTCTTGAAAGATAAAGACTGAGTCACCACCCCCTGACACCTAGCAAGGGTTCCTGGAACATAGCTGGTATCAATAAAGGTGTGTTGAGTGAAAATCTAGATGAATCCCAACTCCCTCTTGCCAATCATCCTAGGAAAGGCTTCCTGAGAGAAGCACCTCTCTGGCCAGGGACTGATAGGGCCTCCTTCCCCCAGGAGAAGAGGGAAGGGGACACTCAGAGGTTAAGCTGGGTTCTGTGCTCTCCATCCAGCTCCTGAAAGAACTACCCCAGCTGACCTGGGCTTCGTGGACATGTCCATCCTAGGCTGTCTGGCTGGTCCCAGGATGGAGAAAGTGGGTCAGCAAGGAGAAGGAGGCATAAGACTTCAGTGGATGTGTCCTAAAAGGCAAGAGTCTTGGCCCAGCCACTGAGCATGCAGCTGGGCTGGCTGGCTGGCTCCTGTATGTTCTTTCCACAGGCAAGGGAGGGAAGAGGGAGCAGCAGGGGTCACACTCCACCTAGGGCCCTGTCTGCTCCTGAGAGGGTCTGACCTGGCCCTTTGCCTCAGACAGCCCCCAGGATTTGTGGCAAGAAGGTGGAAGCCAGGAAGCAAGCAGCTTTTTGTTTTAACGGCTTTATTGGGCTATACTTCACATACAGTGTAATTCACGCATTTCAAGTGTAAAACTCAATGGCTTTTATTACAGCCACAGAGTTGTTCATCCATCACCACACTCAATCTGAGAACATCCTCATTACCCCAAAAGGAAATTCCCAAGCCCCTTAGCCATCACTCCCTAGTCCCCCTTTCCCTTCCAGCCCCAGGCAACCACTAATCTCCTTTCTGTCTCTAGACTGTCTCTTCTGGACAGTCTATCCTGTAAATGGAGTCATGCACTGTGTGATCCTTTGTGACTGACTTCTTTCACTTCGCCTAATGTTTTCAAGGCTCAGAAAAGAGCAGCTTTGGACACTGAGAAGGGTAGAGAGAATCCAACGACCGGGGATAGTGGAAAGGCTCTACCCAGGGCGTCTGGAGGCTGACCCTTGGCTCTGACACGTGGCTTCTGCCTAGTCATTTAACTGGGTCCATCCCAGCTCTAAGTTTCTATACCTTCTACAGCTAAATGCGTGCTATAATTGCAGAGAAAGTCTAGACATTAGGAAGAACTTCCTGTCCTTGAAGCATCTCCTTTTCCAGGGTCTTAGAAAACCAGGAGAGCTATTCCTTGCCTGAGGTGATCTTGAACTAGGACCATCAGGATTCAGAGGCCTTAGGTACAAACTTTGGAGGGGTAACCATCATTCTGATCTCCTTGCCAGGGAAAAAGAAGAAGGATGTCGGTGCTGGTGAAGTGGCTCCAGAGACAGAGAACCCCCTTGTTTAGGGTCTACCGTGAGCAATGCCTGGATCACGAGGAACCCCACTGCCTAGCCACATGATGCTCTGGGGTGTAGCTGGTACCTGGAGACCACCATGGACCTCGTACCTCCTGTGAGACTCCTGTACCACCGCTCAGGAGCAGCCTGGGCAGCCGTCACACTGGGAGGACAGGAAACACTGGCACAACCTTCCACACCTTCCCCCTTCCCTCTCCCCTGGTTGCATGTCCTGGATCTGCTCTGGGAAACATGGGCCCAGCAGGACATCCTCTCAAGGACACTGGAAGTTCTCCAGGATCCATAGATTGATTGTCCAGGGCACTCACTCCTCCACCATTGTTCATGAAGTATTGTTATGGATTGAATTTGTCCCCTTTAAATTCACACGTTGAAATCCTAACCCCCAATATCTCAGGATATGACTGTGTTTGGAGATAGGGTCTTTAAAGAGATATTTAAGGTTAAATGAGGTCATTGAGATGGCCCTAATCCGATATGACTGGTGTCCTTATAAGAAGAGGGAGAGACACCAGGAATGCACACACAGAGAGAAAAAGCCGTGGAAGGACACAGAGAGAAGGAAGCCCTCTGCAAGCCAAGGAGAGAGGCCTTGGGAGAAACCAAACCTGCTAACATCTTGGTCTTGGACTTCCAGTCTCCAAGACTGAGAAAATAAATTTCTGTCGTTTAAGCCACCCATTCTGTGGTATCTTGTTATGGCAGCCCTAGCAGACTAACACAACTATTAGCCAACCAGCATCAAAGGATTACTTCCAGCCTGGGTCCTGGCCTCTGAAAGACATTAGACAATCAACCACTTTCAGTCCTAAACCCAGCCCCTGTCATTTGAGACCCTGATGTTTCCCACAACCAAGGAATTATAAGAAAAGGTCTAGAACCTGATGAAGAAGAGACATGGGGGTCAAGGGTTTCTCTTTCCTGCTTGAAGGACTTGCAAGTTCATGGTCCTCAAAGGTAATTTACAGTTCTAGACAATCAAGGGATGGTTGATATCTCATGGTTGGGATGGGTGCCATTTTGCTGGTAACATCTTTTTAATTGACATCTTCACCCTCAGCACTGACCATCATGCCTCCCACAGGAGCTGGAGCTGGGTTTGAGATTCCCTCCTCACTGTCTAGCACAGTGACCAGAAAAAGAGAGATTAAATTCCTCAGCCAACAGGAAGTTCTTGCACAACTTCAAGAAAATCAGCTCAGCCCAGGATGAGAGTCTCTGCCTGAGACTGAGAGAGGGAGGAGCCAGGAAAAGCTGAACAGAAGGGAAAGTATGGAGGGAAAGAAGCTGAGGCATCCTAATATCTGCCACACTCATTTTCAGATGCAAGTGCAGAAGATCCACCCAAGTTCAAGGGACCCACCACTCAATGGGAAGATGTTCAAGGTCACTTTGAAAGGAGCGCATGTGGGATGGAAGGTATTATTATTGTGGCCATCTCTGCAAAACACAATCTGTCACTGAGCGATTTTGTCTTAAAAAGCTCTGGAATATTGCCACTGGAAAAAATAATTGATGAGCTAAACTTACACTTAAGAATTAGTAGATGAAAAAAAAAAAAAAGAATTAGTAGATGATATGGTCCAGCATTACTCCCTCCCAAGTGTAACTGGATTTTTTTCTGGGACCTCACTCAAGTCTTGATGATAGAGGAAGGAGGCATTGAAGAAACAGGGGTAGGTTTTGAAGTATTTTCCTAGGGCAGCTTCAATCCCTCCACCCAGGATGTCAGCCCTGTGCAAGGGGCGGCTTCCGTCTTCTCCCCAGTTCGTGGGCAGTCACTTCACCTTGGACAAATGGTCAGCTCAGCTGGCCTCCAGATTCATATGGCCACTCCTACACACGACTAGTCCTGGAATTTCCCTGCCTGCTGGCTCTGCTCAGAGGTCCCCTGCTGGCCACCTGACTTCACCTAGTCCTTATGTCTCCCCTGCATCCACTTCTCTCCCATCACCTTCTTCCAAGTCCACCTGAACAGTGCACACGGCCACAGTAGCTAATGCTGCCGCCACCTGTCATCAGAGGCATTCCTCAGGCCTGGTCAATGAACCAGGCAAAACTGGCCTTAGTCTTTAAAACTGATGTGAAAGAGAAAGCCCAGGGTCTAGCAAATGAGCCATGGTGGTTGAATGAGGGAAACACACACACACACACACCACTCCCCTTCTCTCTTCCCTTCATCTCCAGGGCCCCGCCTCAGATCAGAGCAGTTCTGGATGGGATGGGACCCACAGTTCTCCTTCACGCGGTAACCCTTGGTGACGTCATGTAGACGGTGGTTTTCTTGTGTGGTATGCCAGGGCCTTTTGAACATATTCACGCTGCTCAAGTCAACGGAGGTTCCCATCCCCAATGACTCATTTGTCCACTAGTGGAATAATTAACCCACCACAGTGTTCGTGTTGAAAAGCACTGGGATTGATGCTTTAAAAGTCACACAGGAACAAATATTGATGGAGTGTGCGGCATGCACTGGGTACACTTCAGGGCACTGGGGACTCAGTAGTGAGTAAAGCAATGTCCTTCCTTCATGGAGTTTATATTCTAGATAATATAAATAAGCAAGTAAGCACATGTCACATGTGGATAAGTTCTATTAAGAAAGCTAAGGTGGAGTAAATGGCAAGAGAATGGTGTGTTGGGGAGAAGGGGTCTGTCTTAGATAAGGGGATCAGAGAATACCGTCTCCTGATGAGGTGACATGCGAACAGAAGCCTAGTGCAGTGGAGTGAGCCATGCAGTGGCTGGGCAAAGAGCGTTCCAGAGAGCAGAGGATGCAAAGGCCCTGAGGGGGAGCATAGTTGAGGTTTATGAAGAAGAGAGCGGAGACCAGGGCAACTGGGCCAAAACAAAGGGGGTGGGGAAGGAAAGGGGAGGACCATAGTGATGGTCTGGGGCCACAGCACTTGGGACCTTGTGATCTGCAGAACACCCCGTTCCTGGGGTTAGGGAAGCCAGGAGCGACCCCTTCTGTTTGAGTGTCAGATTCGTCCCATAATGACCTTGGCACCATTAACTCCAGTGGGCTCATGGTCAGACCAGAATCCACTCCAAATCTGTGTTTGCTTTTCCTTGTTTTCATTATATCTCCTTTGAGCAAGAGCCTTTGTACCTGTCCTGTGTAAATACAAGAGCTGCTCGAGCAAAGGGGTCATGTGCCACGATGTCAGAGGGAATGGAGCGGGGAGGGTATCGCGAGAGAGAAGGGTTAGAGACACATTTTCTCACCCGTGGAGCTATGAGCACCCAATGCCTCGTTTCAAAAAACAAAAAAACATTGGGGAGAGGAAAGGAGGGTGGGGCAAGATAGGGGTAGGGGATTAAGAAGTACAAACTACAGTGCATAAAATAAATAAGCTATAACGATATATTGTATGGCACAGGGAATTATAGCCATTATTTTAGAATAACTTTAAATGGAGTATACTCTATGAAATATTGAATTACTATTTTGTACACTTGAAACTAATATAACATTGTAAATCAACTATACTTCAATTTTAAAAATTGATAGTATTTATCAATTTTAAAATTGATAAATAAAAACAGAACTGCTGCAAACATTAATGATATCTCTGGCAAATCTTCTTTCCATGTTTATTAAGAAGTAGCACCTATTCAGTTCATCAGCAGTTGGTTATGCACTGGTCTTCAGAGGAAGCACCATCTCCTTCCAGACTTGACTCCATGGCTCCCTGCATCCATCCTGCATGCAGGTTGAAGGAGGGCCTCTAAAATATACAATATATCCCTAGATTCAGGGAAGTTTTAGTGGGCTGGTCAGCGCAGGTCCCATCGGCCAGGAGGGCCAGGCTGATCACATGGGTAAAGAGTGGGGATAGGGGACTTCCCTGATGGTCCAGTAGTTAAGATTTCGCCTTCCAGTGCAGGGGGTGTGGGTTCGATCCCTGGTCGGGGAGCTAAGATCCCACATGCCTTGCGGCAAAAAACCAAAACATAAAACAGAAGCAATATTGTAACAAATTCAATAAAGACTTTAAAAGTGGTCCACATCAAAAAAAATTAAAGAGTGGGGATACCCCCACTGCACAACTAGCCCAGGTCCAGTTCTGCGAGCCACACCTCCAGGGAGACATTGGAAAACTCAAGCGTCCAGAAAAGAATGACCAGATGGTGAAAAGTCTGGAAACCTCATCATATGAGAAATGATTAAAGAAACTGGGCACGTTTAGCTGATAACAAAAAGCTCAGAAGGCCATTAGTTCTCCAATATTTGAAGGGCTCTCACGTAAGCCCTACTGTGTAAGTGAGGCCAATGGAACATGTCTCTGTGAGGCAGATACTGACTCACATGAATAATAGGATCTTCAAGCTGGAAGGAAACTTTGTGGTTACTCAGTTCAAGTTTTTCATTTCTCAGGTGGAAGACTGAGGCCCGAAGAGACTGTTACTCCCTAGAATCACATAACTAGTCAGTGGCAGTCAATCAGAATTAGCTTTAGGTTATCTAGATCAACCCAGCCCCTCACTCTGTCCCATACTCCCAGGGAAGAACTTCATAACAAAAGGAGAAATCCAAATATGAAGTGAGCTGTTCCAACGAATGTGCTTAGTCAGAAACCATCTCAGAGCAATGCTATAGATCAGAGAATTTTCAGACTAGGTGGGAAGTTGCATTAGATCAGGAATGACAAATATGTGGTACATATATCCAGACTTCCACCTTCCACGAGCATGTCGAACGTGGAGAACTAACTATGACACAATTTTCCCACTGAGTTCACAACACTCAGGTAACTCTGACCAATTAATTGAAGCGGGAAGCCAAGATGCTATCCCTGCCCTAGACAATCCATAAGATCCTTCCAACGTTAAGAATGGATTATAGGGCTTCCCTGGTGGCGCAGTGGTTGAGAGTCTGCCTGCCGATGCAGGGGACACGGGTTCGTGCCCCGGTCCGGGAAGATCCCACATGCTGTGGAGCAGCTGGGCCCGTGATCCATGGCCGCTGAGCCTGCACGCCCGGAGCCTGTGCTCCGCAACGGGAGAGGCCACAACAGTGAGAGGCCCGTGTACCAAAAAAAAAATAAATAAATATATATATATATATATATATTTAAGAACGATGGGAAACTATCTTTGGATGCGAGCAACAGAAACCAACTCTGGTTCTAACTAAAGTGCGAGAAAGAATTTATTAGAAATTTGTGGGTAGCTCAGTGTCGTAGTCAGCTTAAGCTACTGTAAAAGAATATGATATTCTAGGTGGCTTATAAACACCAGAAATTGATTTCTTATGTTTCTGGAGGCTGGGAAGCGCAAGATCAAGGCAACAGCAGATTCGGTGTCTGGTGAGAGCCAGACTTCCTGGTTCATAGACAGCTGTCTTCTTGCTGTGTCCTCACATGGCGGAAGGGGCAAGGGAGCTCTCTGGGGTCTGTTTTTAGGGGCACTAATTCTATTCCTGAGGACTCCATCCTCAGGACCTAATCACCTCCCAA